GCACGTTCTGTAAAGTAGAACCGGAAACACTGGTTCATATGTTCTGGCATTGTAATAAAGTAAAGTCCTTTATAGCAGATATCAAACGCAGAATTTTAGATCCGTACGAAATACGCCTCCCTATAAACAGCAAAACTTGGTTCTTCCTAATCGATGCAAATCCACAACAGACACATATATTGGCTTTAGCAAAAATGGTCATATATGAAGCAAGGTTACGAAATATCACACCAGAGGTGACACACCTAATAAACAAACTGAAAATTGTTGTAGAAATAGAACAACAAGCAGCTAATCGCATAAACAAACAAATAGAATTCGAGAAAAAGTGGGGAAGACTAAAAAGCATCGTCGTACAAAACGATGCACATTAACTGCCGTATAATTTTTTTTTTTTACACAAATCTTTGTACGTCAATCCATAACACAGTTGCACACTTGCAGCACTCTTGCCTGCAAATGCATGCATTTGCATGCATTTGTGGGCATGTAAATTGTATCTTCATGCAATTTGCATCTCATGTGAGATCAGTTTGCATCATTGCATGATGTAGGCTGATCTGCATGAGGAATAGAAATACGTAAAAACACTTAAAAATACATACATAAAATGCATACAATAAATACATAGTATACAGTATACATAAATATACACATCATATTTATAAAACAAACATGCCACAAACACCCGGATGATCCCCAAGGTCACGAGCTCGCCGGTCGCGGGAAGGGACTAGCGGCTGTTTTGTCTTGCATGTGATGTGTGAAAGGAGCAAAACAAAGTAGAAAATAGTAGAGATTCCAGTCACGCCGCCGCCGCCTCGATCGCCCCGGTGACCGGGCTGGCCGAGTCGCCGCCGGCGCGTCTTCCGCCGGCGTCGCTCGCTGCATCGCCGGTGTCATTGATGGTTGATAGTCATTGATAGCTGTTAAAAGTTGATATAAAAACTGTTCTGTATTGATAAATGTAAACCTCTGGGCTTTGTTAAATAATTTGTATTTTTTGCAGTGTTGTTATCCTTATCTTGTGTTGAACGTTTCACCCGGACCTTGCCTCGCTGTTTTGCTCACTCTGACTTGTTTGGTTGCCTGTTCGCTGTTGGAGCAGTGCCGCAAAGACCGGTCCCGCGGTGGTGCCATGTGTGCCTTGACCTGTGTAGTGCAACCATTGCAGCGGTGCAGTGATAGTGGGACGCGTGTGAGCCGTTGGGGGGAGTTGTCGTTGCGCGTCGTGCCAGCTGAGGCAGCTGATGAAACGACTGATGAGCCACTGGTGGCGCATCATTGGAGTGGATGATGTCGGATGACTGTGAATGTGATGATCTGATCTGAGTGTAATAAATGTATATTATCGGAAAAAAAATAAATGTTTCAAACCTCTGCAAAACGATTTTTAGTGAAAATTATCTACGCCTTTAATTTGTCATAAAACTACGCGCCTAAATTATAAAGCACATTTGACAGATTCTGAAGTGGAAAGCATGCTTATCAGACACGGGCACCTCGATGCGGTGGATATTTTTTCCACAAACCAAAACGTTTAGCCGTCAAAAGCAATCGACCGAAATGGATAGATAACCCAACCGACACAAGAACAACCAAACACCCGCCGATCGAAAATACCCCTTTTCGCGTTGCGGAGCACGCGGGTCACCCTAGTTAAGCAACCATTTGAACATTTACGAAGCAGTTTTGGTGCCTTCGTAACATGTTACGAAGCTGTCAGGGGCGGTTGACACGTATTACAAATACCTGTCACAACCCCTACCGGTTGACCTGACCTGACTTGACCCGACCTGGTCTAAATGCTTAAAGACATCATCTCTGATCAAAACTAACATGATATTCGTGATCAGCACCCCGGAAAACCACATAGCAGCCACACTACGACTTTCTAACAGGTCCCGATTTTCCCGGTTTTCGGGTCATTGACCTGACCTGGAAGGTCACCCGATGACCTAGGACCTTAAAATTGGGTATCATCGGCTTCCTCTCGTGACGGGCAACACGCTCGTTTTTTTTGCGAAGCTCTAGCTCGATCAGGGGCCAAACGCGAGGGGGGTCGTATCCCCCCCCCCTTGTGCCGTCGAAGGACCCAAAATGGCCTGTGCCGGCGAGGGTTAAGATTCTAAATATAACCTGAAATTTTCACTGTAGATAATTCCAGCACCAGAAATATCCTTCACCAGTTTTGGAATGGCTGGTGTTTCTTGCGTAGAGCGCCTTTTGACAAATAATTGTCATGGCCGGCGATTTTTTTTTTTTGTATGACTGGTCACATCGGACTAAGGTCAAATCTAGTCGCTAAAAGGGGATGAGAAAAAGTGGACGAGTATCGCATTTTTGTGTATAAGGTTTCGAATTAAAAAACTAAGCCAAAATAAGTCAAACAATAAAAAATTCATAAGAATTTATGACCCGAAACTAACTTCTGTTTTGTATGATCATGATTGGGTGTAAGACCCCGGTCCAGCCTGGTTCAACCCGGCCTAACGGGTGCTGAAAATGAGGCCGCTTTCTGGTCCCGGCGTTTTATTCTCCGGGCGGGTTAAAGGGACCCTCCCACCTTAACATTAGATTTGCGTTAAGATAGCCAAAATGGGGTCCCTAGCTCACAATTACCGGTTTCGGCACTCACAACATCGAGAAATGCCTTAAATCGGAAATATTGAATTTCAAAATTGCAGCATTTTGATTCAGAGGGGCTAATGCTTAGGAATACCCCTCTGAATGTGTGACGTCAGCGCAAATATCTAACGATTTTTTAATGTTTGACTAAAACGTTTTGTAGCACGCGGTAGTATATGCTATTTGCGCGCAACATCTGCCGCAAACGCCGCACTTCTAAAATAAAGTCGCTAGAAACAGCGGAGATCCCAATAAAAGTAAACAAAAGTAAAAGTCTAATATCTTGAAAACCGGTGAATATTTTTCGGTGAAATTTGGTAGATATTCGTTTTCGCTCTTTCTGAATCGAGCGACATCACTTTCATGCCAATTCATAAACTTTTTTGAAGGTGGGAGGGTCCCTTTAATCCAGTCCAGCGTTAAGCCTTTCGAGACCCACTCAGGGTCGCGGTTGTTTTCGCCGCGCTCCCCAGTCGAGATGCAAAGTTAATAGTCACACGAAGCTTATTTAGGGCCAGCCAAACCAGCCTAGTCTGGAGTCACTGTTAAAGGGACCCTCCCACCTTCAAAAAAGTTAATGAATTGGCATGAAAGTGATGTCGCTCGGTTCAGAAAGAGCAAAAACGAATATCTACCAAATTTCATCGAAAAATATTCACCGGTTTTCAAGATATTGGACTTTTACTTTTGTTTACTTTTTGGGATCTCCGCTGTTCCTAGCGACTTTATTTGAAAGTGCGGCATTTGTTGGGCGCAAAGCAGCATATACCACCGCGTGCTACCAAACGTTTTAGTAAAAGATTTAAAAATCGTTAGATCTCCGCTGACGTCACAAATTCTAAGGGGGCATACCAATGCACTAGCCCCTTAGAATCCGGAAACTGCAAGTTTGAAATTCCATATCTCCGAATTAAAGCATTTGTCGATGTTGTGAGTGCCCAAACCGGTATTTGCAGGCCATGGCCACCAATTTGGCTATCTCAACTCAAAACTAATGTTAAGGTGGGAGGGTCCCTTTAAATGTATGCATTAGATGAAAGAAAAAGGTTCTGTAGAATCGATCAGTTTCGAAGTCGTATATTCAGGGGCCTCAAATAAAGTTCGTGTGACTATCAACTTTGCATCTCGAATGGGCTGAGCGGAAAAAACAACCGCGGCTCTGAGAGGGTTCCGAAAGGCTAAGCGCTAAACGGGGCTAACCCACCCGGAGAATAAAACGTCGGGACCAGAAAGCGGCCTCATTTTCAGCACCTGGTTCGGCTCCCTCATTTACCTTTGGGCTTGGCCTCGTGACATTCACAGACGTCAGACATTCAACGAACAATTTTGGTGGAAACACTATCCAGCAAGCTGCGCAGGGGCGCAGGGTGACAGGTGTTCGTGGCGTTGGGACTGGGTGATCTGTGTGCCGAGTGCGATATCGTGGGTTCGAGCCCCACTCGGTTATGGTTTTATCTAGACACTAGCCAAAACCTTTCCTTTTACTGCAATACTGACAAGCACGGTGATTTATGTTTCCCGATATCCTCTTAACAAAGTCAAAGCTGTCGCACCTATATATTTATTTTAATGTTTTGCTGAGTTTCATGAATTTTCATTTTTTTATTTTTGGTCGTTTCTCTGGACCCATTTCAACTCGTGATTCTTTTCGATCCGATAAAAACCCATCAAGGCTGAGCGTGGCAAATAATGAAAGAAATTATGTAACTGAATATAAATTTAGAAAAGCCTTACACATCATGCAAGGATCGACTGAAAGTATAGGTCCTCGATTCAATTATGATTGGTTAACATTTTTGCTGCAAGTTTGAGGCGTTGCCTTTCGCTTGCCCGTTTGTTTGAGATAGCTATTCCCTTCAGTTGCATTCTTGCTGGCTTCACATGAACAGGGTGGTGTTTCACCGGCGATCGCAGGACGCTGCTATTACTACGTGTCAAATTGGGTTTCTACGGAGACGTCAACAAGCCCATTGCTCCAACACTACCACAAGTGTGACGTCAGCAGATATCACCGGTGAAACACCACCCGAGATACCACCATACCTGAGGGAGCGCACCCGCAACCAGCTTCCCCTCCCCTCAGCCGCGGCGCAGTGGCGGGCGGCCCACTCCCGGCGCTACGCACGCTCCACGCCGCGATAGCAGAGCGTCACCCCCCCGCCCCTCCCTCCTTCCCCCACAATGACCGGTGACCTCGCTCCCCTCGGGGGTTGGACTCGCCCTACCCCGACCGTAGCGCCACGTGGTGGCTCTGGAGATCTTAAATAGACCCACTGTACGTGTACGTGTAGGTAGCCGTTGCGGCTCGCGGAGTGCACCGTTGCAGGTATATAGCCGCCGCGGCGGTCGGGGCCCACCAGTGCTGCCCGGGACTGCGGGGGGCGGACACCAGTCACCAGCGTCACCATGGGGTGCGGACTGCGCTGGCCGCCGCTGGTGCTGCTGTCGGCGCTGGGGCTGCTGCTGTGGGCCGCCAGCACAGAGGCGCTCACACAAGGTGAGAAGAGAGCGCACGTGCGCGGGGAGACGCGCAGACCGCGGGGATCAGTGCGCGGGGTGCGTGGGACGGTGCGTGGGACGGTGCGCGGGGTGCGCGGGGTGTGTGGGACAGTGCGCGGGGTGCGCAGGGTGCGTGGGACGGTGCGCGGGGTGCGTGGGACAGTGCGTGGGACGGTGTGTGGGACGGTGCGCGGGGTGCGCGGGGTGTGTGGGACAGTGCGCGGGGTGCGCAGACCGCGGGGATCAGTGCGCGGGGTGCGTGGGACGGTGCGTGGGACGGTGCGTGGGACGGTGCGTGGGACGGTGCGTGGGACGGTGCGCGGGGTGCGCGGGACGGTGCGCGGGGTGTGTGGGACGGTGCGCGGGGTGCGCGGGACGGTGCGCGGGGTGTGTGGGACGGTGCGCGGGACGGTGTGTGGGACGGTGCGCCCAGGGAGGGGAGACGTGATGGAGGAGGTGCGATAACATAGCAATGTAAGCTTAGGACCTAGCTCCTCGGTCTAGCGCAGAGTAAGCGAGGTATACCGGGTGGCCCAGAAAAAACGTTCCGAACTTTGGAGGCCTGTATATCAAATACGGGTACAAATAGCGAGCCAAAATTTTCATCAAGTTTGCGTCATTTCTTTGCGCATTGGTATGCCAAATTATAACACTATACCATCATTTTCAAGCTGGTAATCTTGAGTTGAATTAAGCAAGACCTTTTTGCTTTTTTTGCCGATGTGAAATGATAGTGATGATTGGGTTAGACGTCTCATGTTATAAAAAGAATAAAAAATAGAGCACGTGAATGAAACCAACACGTATGTTCTTATTTTAAATATTTTTGTCTCGCTTATGTGCCAAATATTCAAATACTGAGCCAAAATGGTGCTCATGGATGTCATTCGTTTCAACACCAAATCATGTTTCGAGAGGAGTGGCACGATGCATGAATTACTGCTGATTACCCTCCTTTCAGTAGATCAAACAGTAAATCGACCGGATAAGGAAAACAAACTAAAGCAGGCTGGTTCCTGTGCCAGAAGACCACAGAATAGCTTATGAAAAACAACATTGCCAGCAGATGCCAAAACAATGTGGTTGAAAAGCTACCTTTTCCCAGGAATGTCAGCCAGGAAAGCATTTGAGCCACAAGGTGGTTAGAAAACTGGAAACTTCTTCCGATGCCGCTGGCACAGAGCCATCGTGGTTGCCTGAGGGAATGTGTCATCCTGAGACCCGAACCATCAATGAGACTAGCTGCCAGTAGAAGTCATGGCTCTAGGCCGCGGTGCCGCGGGGTGAAAGTGACCCGTTCACTCACATTTTTTAGTAAACATCGGAGCAAAAAAGTAATTTTTACATGGCATGCTTGAAACACGAACCGTTTAAAAAGTTAATTACCTAACACCATGAAAATCACACCATTTACTGAAAATGTGTGCCGCATTGACTATTCGAAGTTTCAATGTTGTATCTTTATCACTTTCTGAGAAATATTGATTTAAAGTTGGGAACGTTTTTTCTGGGCCACCCGGTATATGTATGTACAGTTCCACTTTTCACAGGCAATCAGCTGCCTGGAGTGGTAGGCTGCGCCGCCTCATACAGGCTGAGTGACACAGTTTAAAGGGACCCTCCCACCTTCAAAAAAGTTAATGAATTGGCATGAAAGTGATGTCGCTCGGTTCAGAAAGAGCAAAAACGAATATCTATTGGCCGTTTTCACGACGGAATAGCAGGCATCTATTTAATCCCCATTTGATCCTTTGGTTCCTCAGGAATTTTAGTAGTTCTTTTTAGTAGGTTCCCCAGCTTTCGAATGAATGGTGCGTTAGTTTGCTATTTTTCTATTAAATATCACATCGATTTACTTTATCTAAGGATTTATGACTAATATCAACATAAAGCGTAAGCACAATTATAAAATTATGAAATTATTAAATACTAGTACAATAGCTAAAAAAGATACTGAGTTGCCAGGCTACAAAGAATATATTCATTTATGGCGCACGACAGACATTTAGAAAGCAGCGCCCTGTTTTATTGCACGCTGCTAGCCGCTTCCATTGGGTTTTGCAGGCCGACGTCATTGGTCGTTACACGTATGATGTCACGCGACTTGTGGCCTGTCACGGCTCAATGATCCCCACTAAATGAATGCAACAATGGCCTTTTAAGTTGATCTCTGTGGCCATCTGTCTATGGAGCGACCAATATGAAAGTTGGGTGAATTTACCGGGGTTACATGACTATGAGCAAGCAAATGTGTATCAGGAATGGATTTAGGTGGAGAATTGCGCTGGACCATGAGTGCTCGAACGCTCCCAATTCCACGCCGGTTTGGCTTTGGAGCCGAGACAGACGATGTGGGTCAAGGTCACCGCTGGGGTAACGGTGGATTGGCTGCGCCCGAGCACCCGTAACGCGGCACAATTCTCCATCTATGGATTTTCCTATTCGCTCAGCATTGTGATAGGCGTTCGTAATAGCATTTACTCTGCTCATGTACCTATCCCCGGTTATTTAAAGGAAAGGAAGACTGCCACCTTCAAAAAGTTTTCTCAGATCGGCCTATGATTTATTGCCTGGACAAAACAAAATTTTAGAATTCACCTGACAAAGGATCATCACGTGAATCGCGAAAAAAATTGTCAATTATCATACAATTATCAATCGGTTAATGTCTAGCGACAATGTTTACACATCACTAGACTTCAAGGTCATAAGATTATTACATTTTATTTGAAAAAGTAAGGTATTTTATGATTTACTAATATATGATTTCATAAGAAATTGGCCATGTTTAATTTATTTTGCATTTAAGTTCGTAAAACATTTAAAAATCATTGCTCATTTGGAATGGGTCTGGCCCATGTTAAACCCCATTTCCCACACTTTTTTGGAAAAATGAACTACTGAATATATAAGTTTAACTTTTATTTTGACACTCCAAAATTCTTCTCTGATCTCGAAACAATCAAAGTTTTGACATATATTTACCAAAAGATAAGAAAATTCATGTTTCAAAGTTATCGATAAACAGTAGAGATGTCGGTTTTCTTGGACTAAAAAAATGGCATCAAACTGAACTTTGGTCTCCGATTTCTCGCAAACGGGTTCGAATTTCGGAAAACCGACTTCAGTCTGGGACATAGGTGGCTCAGCTCTAGTGAAAACCGTTTTGTGGAAAAAAGGTGGCAGTCTACCTTTAACCCTCGCACGACCAGGCCACGGCCATTTCTCATAACACGAACGACCAGGGGGGGGGGGGCTGTTACGACCCCCCCTGGCGTTTCGAAACGGAAGGCCGTAGAGCTTAGCGGAAAAAACCAACGGATTGCTTTCAACGAGATCTCGCGATTGGTGATATATTTTTTGGTCCTAGGTCAACATTTGACCTACTTATGACCGGTCAAAGGTCAAATTTTACGAAAAAATCAAACTTTTTCAAATTTCCACGGCGATTGCGGCAAAACGGTGGGAGATATCGACTTGAAACCTTCACTATCGTGTTCCTTGATCAATTCTCTATCGTTTGGTATGTATTTCGTTTCCCTAGCTCTAAAAATGGCGCGTTGGGAGCGCCGGAAGTCGGCAAGGTCACAGTCGGCGGCAGAAATTCGAAAAATCAAAATTTAAATTTTTGAAATATGATTGTATTTTTGGATTTGGGAGGTCTATTTGCTCCCTATAGAAGCTAATATTGCTGCATATTCCCATTGAGGTGACAAGAATTAGCAAAATAGTGGTTCGGGCGCTTTTCAAAAATAGTACCGGACGCTGTTCCTCTTGTGACGTCATAGCTCCGTGACCTGACCTGACCCGGTCAATATTCTTGCACCACACGATAGCCAATGCTTGCCCCAACATGCATGGGAAGTTTCATCATGATCCATCAAACAATGTGGGTATCACCGGCAGAAAACCTAGGGATTCGGCGCACACGTTTGGTAACTGTCGGCCGGAGGCTGTACCTCTTATGACGTCATAACTCCGTGACCTGACATGACCCGATCAATTTTTTTCGGCAAAAGATGCGCAAAGGTTGCCCCAGAGGGTATTGAAAATTTCAGCCCGCTACGACAAGCCGTTTAGCGTGCACTTCGAAAAAACCTCAGGGGGGGGGGGTTGATACAACCCCCCCCCCCCTAGGCGTTCTAGGGTTAAAAGAAGTTTTTGTGGGGGAATATCACGGCTTTAGGTACTCGGTGGCCCTATTCACGACTTTCAAAGAATGCTCCGATAACTAAACACCGCACAGACCTACTGCATTAGTGAATCTGACAGAAGGTCTGTGGAATTACATCCCCCCTCACCACACCCCTAAAAACTCATCCAGTGTCCAAAACCACTTTTATCGACTCGACAAAAAAACAAAACACACACACACACATACACACACAAAGCATGGGGCATGTCAGCTCTCAGTTCATTTATCATTGTCTTTACCATGGTTCAATTGCATTGCGCGATTTAAAGCACGTGAGTGCCTATATAGTATATATGTAGAAAATAATATCTACAGCAAAACATCCAAAATTACAAAGGCTACAATGCTTAAAAAGTAGGTTCATCAAGTAAGCCCATTTTTACTTGCGTTGTGTTGCCAACCATGCGATTCCAACGCGGGCTATTCGCAACGTCTGTTAACCCGGCAGTTGCTGGGGTATTTCGCCACCCACCGTTTGCTGGGGGGGGGGGGGCGTTAAACGCCCCCAGCCGATAACTCGAGAACCAATAGGCGCAGCGAAACGCACGAGGCGGCAAACGAAAGAGCGCGACGAGACGCTTCAGATGAGTACTTTAAAATTGAATTTTGAGGTCACAAGTCGGGTCAAGGTCAGGTCAAACACCTGAAATCGGGCTTTCAGTAGCATGGACTTCAGGACTTCGCAATGGGCGCCTCTCGCCATACACTCTGTCAAAACGGTGCACAATCCACCCTATAAGGCCTACAAGAGTGTCAGCTCCATATAGGGGTCAGTCACGCATAGGTCAGGGTCAAGGTCAGGT